TCTCACATTTTTTTCTTTTCCCTTTTTGTTCTTCCCCTACGTATCACACCTTCCCTACACCTTTAGCTCTTTTCTTCAAATTTCTAAATGTCAGTAATCTTATTAGAATCTTATGCATTGTTGCAGAATATTCACACCAGGGAAACTATTTGGTATTTACACATGTGTGACTTATTTATTTCACTTAGGAGTATATCTTCAATATGTATCCATTTTCCTATGAATGAATCTATTCTCTCGCTCTTTATGGCTGAGTAATATTCCATTTTATAGAAAAACCACAACTTCTTTATCCAGTTTCCAACGGATGGGCAAATAGGTTGTTTCCAAGTTTTAGCTATTACAAACTGTGCTGCTATAAACATGGGTGCACATACTTCTCTGTGATATGATTCTTTTAGTTCTCTTGGAAGGATACCTGCCTTTTTGCAGAAGTAGCTGTCTCCTAACTCCGCTCCGAAGAGTGCCGTCTGTCAACCTTTGTTCTGAGTTGCAGGGGAGCTAATGTGGCAGGGCCAGGTGTGCTTGGTGTGTGCCAGGTAGGAACGCTCAGACCGCGGGGTGATGTGGGCTGGCTGACACTTGAGGAAGCTCAAAGCACAAGTAGAGAAATCTGGCTTTTTACCAAGCATCAGTGGATGGTTTTTTCCATATTGTCCCTGAAAGTACAGTCTTCTTGTCACCTCTGAATAGTAATTCGTGTGGAAATAATGTATTTTTTTCACCTGAAAGTCTAGTGATATTAGACAATTCTTATTGCTATATTTTTACATTATCTACTCTTTTTTTGAGAAAAAGATGATTTTATATTTCTAATGAAATTTGTTGATATTCCTCTTTGATTTTTTCCAAGACATCTAAGTTTAGAGGGAGATTTGTAAATATTGTTTGATTTTTTTTCCCCAGTATTTTTTCTCTTAACTGGATCAGTTCATTCAGCAACTACTGAGCCTGTGATGTGTTCCAAGGGACTGGGGACTCAACAGCAAATATCCCAACAGGCCCTGATGCTCTTGTAGCTGTCATGTGTACATAGATATTTTTAGATAGGGATCTCATTATAGTGCCCAGGCTGGCCTTGAACTATGTTCAAGTGATCCACCTGCTTCAGCCTCCTTTCAGATAGCTGACACTACAGGCATGTACCATCACATCCAACTCTCTTGGAGCTTATATTTTGATCAGATGATGTAGACCAAATCGTGCATGCATGTGTGTGTGTGTGTGAGTGAGTGATATGTGTATGTATGCAGTGAGGTTCAGAAAAGCGAACAAGGGATGAAGGAGTTAGAGTGACAGTGATGGAAGGGAAGGGCTCCCTAAAGAGGCTGAACAAAGAGCAGACTGAGGTGGGGACTGAGCCCCAGTGACCCAGCCAAAGGACACTGATGGACAGCAGGGTGAGAGCTCTTGAGTTGGGAGCTCATAGCCCATGTGAGGAAGAGGAAAGCTGCCAGGCACCCTGAGGGGAAGAGTGATGTCAGAGGGCGGGTGGAAGTCTGGGCAGGAAACTTCCTGTGCGAGTCCTGCAGTGATGCTTGCTTGTCTTTATACCTTTTACCAAGTAATGTTTTCTGTTGCTTTGTCATACCTTTCTCAGCATTTTTTTTGGACATTAAGTCCAGGATCTATGCATTGAGCTATATCTCTAGCACTTTTTATTTTTTGAGACAGGGTCTTGTTGAGTTGGCAGGTGGGATCTGAACTTGTGACCCTCCTGCCTTAGCCTCCCTCAGTGCTGGGATGGTAAGTGTGCACCGCCACACTTAGCTTCTCAAGTTTTAAGAATGTCTTGTCTTTTTTTGTTGTGTTCTCTTTAATTGCTTCATCTTTCTGTTCCATCTGCAGTGTGTACTTTTAATGATTGCTTTAATATCTGACCATGTTTCTCAGTACTACCCTTCTTTGTTAAGGATTACTAATGACATTTTTATGTGTTTCTTCTTACAAATGGCATTTAACATTATTTTCTTACATTCCTGTTTAAAGTACCATTGGGTTTTGAGCTTACATTCTGTGTAAATTGAAGAGAAATGGCATCTGTCTTACCATGCATAATTTTAAACATTACATCGTTAAAATTTTGTACTTTATTTTGTTGTGGTTGAGAAATGTACCTGTTTTTAAATGACTGGTTATGGAGCTTATGAAGGTAGGAAGATGATTTTGTTTAGTTCACAGTGTATTTTATCATATTCTTGCTGTGTGCCTGGCAGTTTAGACACTGAGTCCAGAAATAAGGCTGTACCCTACGATTTCATCTAGTAGGCATGAACTCAAAATTTATTTTTGGCATCAGGGCAGAAATCTATGAAAGAAATCATGTTACCTTTGTTCCTCCTGCCTGAAGGAATGGTTTGTAAAGAGCGTCCTATTTATACAGAATGAGAGTAACACAAAATTGGCAGATCTTAATAAGACATGCTACATAGAGAAGCTGAACTGATTGTTAATTTCTGTTAGATATTTGAAGTTTTTTTCTTACTAAAGAAGTGATATATCAGCAGCCCAGCTTTACCTATCAGCAGTTCTATAGATGTTCCTCCAACATAAATGTCAGATCCATGTACTTCTCTTCATATGAAAAACTCTTAATGACTTTTTCCAAACCATAATTGCCTTTGATCTGCATGTTACTACGGCTTTCTGACTAGTCTCTAATTTCCTGTTGCCCACATTTACAAGCTATTTTCCACCCAGCAGCCATAGACATTTAGAAAAAAATAATAGAAATTGTCAAAGCTTAAAAGATACATATATATACATATATATATATATATATATATAACAACTGATTCTGGTCACAAACTTAGTGAGAAGAAAACTAAATTACATGGTTAGGATCAATGTTGACATTTATATATGTATACACACACAACACATACATATGTATATAGACATGATATACATATTTTATATATCACATATGCATGCTATATATTACATATATATATATATACACACACACACACACATAGTATAATTAATTGCCATGAGCCTCACTCTCAGGAGTTATCAGAATGGTTAGTCTCCTTTTATCTCTTGTTACTTCCTGTGTTATCTTGAAGCAGTTTAAGGAAGGCATACCATTCCATCCCTAAATGTTTCAGTATATTAGTAAAAAGGGCTCTTCAAAGAAACACAACCTTGTGATAGTTGTACAATTCTTTGTGAACATACTAAAAGCTATTATATACTTCAAATTAGTGAGTTTTGTGGGATATGAATTTGTTTTAGGAGAACTACTTTAAAAAGGGCTATTATAGGGCCGGGGATTTAGCTCAGCGGTTCGGTGCCCTGCCTTGCAAGCGCAAGGACCCAAGTTCAATCGACAGTACCCCGCCCCAAGGGCTATTATAGCCTTATCCTGTTAACAGTATAATTTCTCAAAATCATAAGACAGCTAAAATTCACATTTCCCCAGTTATTCTTTTTTGACACTTTGACAGTTTTGAACATGTCAGATAATACACTTTTACTTAAAACCCTTCAGTGACTACACCACATGCACACACACATGTATGTTTGTGTGTACATATGTACATATATATAGGCTCCTAAAAATCTGGCCTATAATGTTCTTATTTGTGGAATCCTGTTGTTCTTTATCTTTTGCACAGTAGCTTACTCCTACATCAGAGCCTTCAGGTTAGTTGTTCCCTCTACTGGAGTGTCCTCCCTCTCTGTTTTCACAGGGCCATTGCTTGCTTGTCAACCCAAGCATCCCTTCCTCACAAGTCTTCCCGTGGCAGCCCCTCAGCTTCTGATCTAAAATGGTGTCCCAGTCTTTCTGTCAGAGTTTTCGTTTAAACAAATCTTGACATGCTGTGGTTTACTATCTGCTATGTCTTTTATTGTCATTAATTTATCTCATTCCCCTCCTTCTGTGATCTCCCCAGCCCCAGTTTTTTTCTGTCACGCTCACTGCTGAATCCCCAGGGCCTAAACTGGTGATTGGCACATAATGGATTCTGCTAAGGAAAAATATATACAAAACTTGGCCAGTACATCCCAGGTGTTTGGAACTGATAAAAGGGTTAATAATTATCTGTAAGATAATACATTTTTATAAGTTTAAATTAACTAGGACAATCACTCTATATTGCTTTAAACTATAAAGTCTGATAATTAGTTGTAGAAGTCATAGAAAACTGATAAAGAAAATAAATATAGTGATTTAAAGCCAGAATTGTGACTGACCAGACTCTGTATGGAGCATTCTGAAGTTAATCTGTTTTCCTGGCTTGATGGTAACCATACTGAATTGAAATGCAAACTTCTGATTAGGTTTTGCTTTTTCTTTAGGTCAAAGGTGTGGTTAATTGAGCAATGATAATTGTATGCTGCAGTTGCAGCATCAATTTTATAGTACAAATAGGCTTATGATCACTTTTTTTCCACTTACATTTCACACAGATCAGAAACCTCTTGACCTTGCCCACGGTGCTGAAATGAAACACATCCTTGTTGGTAATAAGGTACGTAGCAGTGAATTAGGTTTGTGTAATATTTAGAAAGATGTTTGAATGCTTGCAGTACACAGGTACATTTTTAATGAAACGTGTTTTCAATAGGTCATCTACAAAGCATTGAAACGATATGAAGGCCCTCTATGGAAGGTAGGTTGGGATGGTTTTTAATTATAAAACTTGAAGAATTCTCATGTTCTGTTTCTGTTCTTAAAAAAAAATTCAGTAATTTCTCACGTACAGCTGGCCCCTTATGAGGGTTTGGTTTGCAAATGTTTTGCCTTTATGTGATAAGGAAAGAATATGCATTCAGTGGAAACTTAGACATTTGATCTTTCTCATGCTGGTGATGTGAGGTTTGCTACCCTCACCGTGCTGGGCAGTGGTAGTGTCTGTGGCACCAGCCACCCGAGTGTGATCACAGGTGGATCAGCTGCAGCTGTACAGGGCCCTGTGTTGCCAGTGTGTTTTGGAGGGTGTGTTTTGTGTTACTGATCTTTTCCTTTTCCTTTTTTGGTGTGTTGGTAGCCTTGTATGTGCTAGGTAAGCACTAGCCCACTGAGTTACCCCCCCACCCTGGCCTGTTTTGTTTTTGCATCCCATTGTGATTATAACCCCACCACCACCTGTGAGTGTATGTGAGCTATTTACATTGCAGCATGAAATAGGCTTTTTCTGTTAGGCAAGTGCACCTGTAGGCAAGTGCAAGTTTTCTGAGCACATTTAAGGTGGACTTAGTTAAGCCAAAATACTTTGTCATTTTTTGTTTTTTGGCAGTGCTGTAGTGGGGGTACTCAGAACCTGAGCTGTGCCAGGCACGGGATCTACCACTGAGCTCTGGCTCCAGCCCTTAAATGCATTTTTGATTTAGCAGTATCTAACTCCTCATGTTTATTGGGACATAACACCACCATAAGTTGGGGAACATCTAGATATGTGATTTAATTATTCTTTTTTTTGAGACAGGGTCTCACTATGTAATTCAGGCTGGCTTTGAACTTGCAGTGATCCTCCTGCTTCAGCCTCCCGAGTGCTGGAATTAGAATGCATCACCACAATTTAGTCATTCTTAGATTTTAAAAATGTAAACCATTGTATACTGCTATACTTTTAAGAGGCTTCCCCTGATTGTATCAGTCACTATTTTTGTTGTTGTTGATGATGAGCTAATACTTTTAGGTGACAAGTTTTTACCAAAAGGAGTGGAAAAAAATACATTTTTTTCTCCCTAAATCATAGATTTGTGGTATTGTTTTTGTTTTGAACATCAAACCATGAAGGACTTAGGAGAAAATTAGTATTTGAATCATCCCAGGGTACACATACAAAATCTTCTGGTTCTAAAACTTTGTTTGATTTGGAATTCATTTATGTTCTAGAGTCAATCCATGGTATAAAAGCTCATAACACTATAAATTTGTGTACATGTGTGTTTATATACAGTAGATTTAGGATCATTTTCTGTTTTTACACATTCATTATTGACTTTGAGAAAGTTACCTTTGAAGACCACTGGTATACTTTCTATAAGTAAATTCGTGAACAGTAGTGTCAGAGCCCTGAACTGTGTTCATTAGTTTTAGCAGTATGGCATTTCATGTGTCCTGTCACCCTGTGGTGAGGGGTATGTTTTCATTACTGCTCTTGGTACCTAAGTTCATGCTTGGTCACTTTTTCATGCTCAATACTATTCTCTAGATGAAAGATTCCAATACAACTCAGAACTTTATTGCTTTTTATCATTCAAATATTTGGATCTAGATGTGTCAGCTTGGGAAATCTTTGTCATTCTTCCTTTAGAGTTCAAGATTTTTTGGCTGGAGATTATTCTGGGTAGTGTTAGAACATGGAGTCCTTTCATGGTATCGGAAACAGTAAGTATCACATTTATTAAATGTCAGTATATAAATTTTGAAAGACTAAAATTTTCACTTACCTCTTTTCCTTTTGTCTTGATAATATTCATTTTGAAGGCCTGATGCAGCCCATAATATTTATCGCCAAGGATGCAAACATCTGACTCAAGCAGTATGCACGGTAAGATGAGACAAAATTATAAAATCAGTTCTGCCAGTGATTGCCCGAAATCAGTTGTAAAATCTTGCGATTCTATAGGAGGGTGTAAAAAAACGATTGCATGTATTTATATTTGAAACAAATGAATTTGTAGAATCTGTTTTGAAACATATACATTATATATAATATATAATTATTTATCTCTACGTATAAGAAATAGATTATCCAAAAACATCTACACAAAGCTTTTAACATTTGGTGTATATAAATATATGTGTGTGTGTGTCTTTGTACATGGGTAAATCTAGATAATGGATATTTTCTGCAGTTAAAATTTAAAGGCTGTGTCAAACTTGGGAGTCTTAGGTTCTCCATATCCACTTCCAGCTGTTTTATTTTACCAGCCAGAGAAAAGCAGGTTTTTCCTCAGTAGGGACTGGTCATAGGTGTTGCCCAGAAATGCTCTAGTTTCTTGCCTGGAGTTTGTTAGTGTGGTCAGTGCTCCATGCGGTCTCTCTGCCCCTGGCGCACTCAGCCTGCCTTTCCCTGTGTGAACACTCTGGGGTCCAGTTGTATTCCCTTGGGCTGGGCTTGTTACAGGTTCAGTCCAGCAGCCCAGTGAGGCAGCGACACACCCTGCCTCTCACCCCTTTCTCTCACGACCGCAGACCTCTGCTCTCTGCCTCCCCCATCTGTCTGATCTTTTCATCCCTGCACTCTGGTCTTACTTCTTTTCATTCATCTACTCATTCTTGTCTTCCGTAAAGCAGTGAACATGTTAGTCCCCTTCCTTGGTCTTTTGCTTGTGTGGAATTGATTAGTCCTGGCATATTGTGCCTTTTCTACTTTTATAAGTTTCAATTTCTTATATAATTGTCTGCTCAAAGTCTACATCTGTGAGTCATGTCAATACAAGCTCATGGACCCTGAGTTAACTCCTATAAAGCAGATTCTGTTTACATTTCAGTTTCTTTTTCCCCACTTTTAAAAAATTAGTATATATTAGTTTTATAGATAAATGGATTTCAGTTTGGCAGATTGTACATGTACATGACATATTTCTCACTGTCTGCTTTCTTAAGGGAGAAGCTTACCTCAGTATCATTTTTCTTATGCAGGTATTTTTTTTTACATTGTGATAAAAGGGGCTGGGAATTTAGCTCAGTGTTGCCACCGCCTGCCTTGCAAACGCAAGGACCCGAGCTCGATCCCCAGTACCAAAAAAAAAAAAAAAAAAATTGTGTTAAATTACGCATTACATAGAAATCATCTTCGCCATAGCATGTCCTTACATTGTTCTGCTCTGGTAACACCATCCATCCGAGGAATGCTTCTCGTCTAGCCAAACTGATATTGTAGCCATTAAATACTAATTCTTTATCACCCATCCCCACCCTGACAATCACCATTCTAGTTTGTGTGTCTCTGAAGTTTACTACTCTATGTACCTCATTTAAGGGGAGTCAGAAGACATTTGTCTTTTTCTGACAGGGCTATTTCACTTTGGATAATGTCCTCAAGATTCACCCAATTTGTAGCTGTCAGTTTTTTTTTTTTAATTTTGAATTTAAAACACTGTAATCATGACAAAAACATATTATTTACCACCTTAACTATTTGAGAGTACCACTCAGTAATTTTAACTGTATTTACTTTGTTGTGAAACATATACTTGGAACTTTTTGACTTGTCAAAAATGCAAGTCTGGATATTATTCTTTTCTTTGTTTTTTTGTTTTGTTTTTAATGGAATGTGCTGAATGTCTATAATTTTGTTCAGATGACTGCAGAACCTGGAAAAGCTGTTGCTGCTATCGATGTATAACATACTATTATTAGTCTTTTTATATAAATATAAATATA